GACAAAGCCAGAACCCAGGACCTCTCAGAGAACAGAGGCCTTGGTAAACATGCAGGCTTGCAGAGCTGCCCTCCTAGAGGGCTACAGTCGGGAAAGTGTGTACAGCAGCCCTCACAGAGGCTGAGCTGCAGTCTTTAACAGCTCAATTCCAGGTTGGATTGAGAGGACAGTTTCTTAGTCTAACCTCCTCTAGAAGCAAAAGGAAATCTCTAAAACATATGAAGTCAGCAGCCCTGTGGGACAGGCCTGCAATCCCAGAACAGTAGAGGTAGAAGCAGGAGGCATCAGGAGGAGCTCAAGATCATCCTCGGCTACCAAAAAAGTACACGGCCAGCCTGGGGCACATGGGACCCTATCTCAAAGAGACAGCTTGGGGGATAGATCACCCAGAGCTTTAGTTTGTTGACAATTTTTAAACATATCAATAGTAAGTGACCATGCAGAGGAACAAGACCAACTGTGTGGGTATTCATTCCGCCAACAGCTTTGGGGTACCAGCCTTAGGGCATGACCTCTTAGCGGGTTACATGACTGCTTAAAATCTGAGGAGGGGGCGTATGGTCACTCTCTTGGGGTGATCGGAGGCCAGACGGCTGGATCCATTCACTCCTGGGCAAAATGGAGGACAACGGCTGTTCACTTGGTTCTGTATCCGTGAGTGTATTTTTCCCCATTTCATATCTTAATAAATCCTTGATACACCTTAAACAGACTCTTGTGGGTTTTGAATAACAACCAACTGACAAAAATAAAAGAAAAAGTAGTAATAATAATCCCAAATAATGGACACAGACTTTAAAAAGGACCAGGAGTAGGGGCTGGACAGATAGCTCAGTGGTTAAGAGCACTGGCTGCTCTTTTAAATAACTGGGGTTTGATTCCCAGCACCCACATGGTGCCTCACAACCATCTCTAACTACTATTTCAGGCTGTCAATACCCTCTTCTGGCTTCCCCAGGCACTGTATACCACAGTGAATGTGTGTGTGTGTGTGTGTGTGTGTGTGTGTGTGTGTGTGTGTGTGTGTCTGAGTGTGTCTGTGTGTGTGTCTGTGTGTCTCTGTGTGTATATGTTTTGCCTGCATATATGGAATTAGTATAGTTAAGAAAATATAGAAGATGAATCATTTCATCAGAACTAAGACCTATAGAAAAATAATCTAAAAATCTAGAATAAAAACTGAAATCAATACATGGGTTTTACATAGATATGGGTGAGGACAGAACCAGCAAACTGGAGGATGAGCCATAGAAAACACAGACTGGGACTGAGGCGACGGTTCAGCAGGTAAAGTGCTCAGTCCACAAGCATGGAGACCAGAGTGTGGATTGCCAGAACCCATGTAGGAGCTGGTGGGCATGGTGATCTGCCTGTAATCTCAGAGTGCAGGAAGCAGAGACTGAGAATCCCCAGAACAAGCGGGCTTTCCAAATGTGGTGGTTTGAATGCAAACGGCCCCCATGGGCTCACAGGGAGTGGCACTGTTAGGAGGTGTGGCCTTGTTGGAGTGGGTGTGGCCTTGTTAGATGAAGTGTGTCACTGGGAGTGGGATTTGAGGTTTCAGGGTCTCTCTCTGCCTGCTGCCTGTAGACCCAAGATGTAGAACTTTCAGCTCCTTTTCCAGCACCAGGTCTGCCTGCTGCTGCCATGCTTCCTGCCATGACAATAATGGACTAAACCTCTGAATCTGTAAGCCACCACCTAATTAAATGTTTTCCGTTCTAAGAGTTGCCATGGTCATGGTGTCTCTTCACAGCAATAGAAAGCCTAAGACACCAGACCAGAAACAGAGATTCTCTGTTTAATGAGAAACCCAGACTCACTACATAAGGTGGAGAGTAGCCAAGGAAGACACCCAACATCAACTCAGGCCTTCACACACACATGCCATACACGCATCCACACACATGAACCTGCATACACATATGCACAGACCACATATATACTATGCAAAAGAGAAAAAAAGTACAAGTACATAGATTAAAATCTGAACAGAAATATACAGAAAAAAATGAGTGACTCAGAAGACAGTGGAAATGTCTAGCCTATTTGTAAATGGGTTTCTGGAAGTAGGAAGCATAAAGAATGGAACCAAAGAAATATGTAAGAATCAATTGTATCCGATTTAAAAAAAAAAAGGGGGGGGGCCTAGAGAGATGGCTCAGAGGTTAGAGGAATGGCTGCTCTTCCAGAGGTCCTGAGTTCAATTCCCAGCACCCACATGGTGGCTCACAACCATCAATGAGACCTGGTGCCGTCTTCTGGCATGCAGACATGCTATATACTGTATACATAATATATATATATATATATATATATATATATATATATATATATCCAAGCAAATTAAATAAAAAGAACATCACACTCAAGTACAATGCATTTAAAATTTCAAAAAAATTCTGACCCAAAAAGATAATCTTGGGCTGGGCAGTGGTGGTGCACACTTTTAATCCCAGCACTGGGGAGGCAAAAGCAGGCAGAACTCTGATTTCAAGGCGAGCCTGGTCTACAAAGTGAGTTCCAGGACAGCCAGGGCTTCACAAAGAAACTGTCTCAAAAAGTGAACAAAAAAGAATAAAGATGCTTTTAGACACAGACATCGTTGACAAACGGATACTAAGTGGAATACAAAGGAGAGATCTTCAGGTAAAGAACAAACAGTCTCAGCTGGAACTGTAGGAAAGATTAGAAAGCAATAGGAAGGATAAACACATTAGTCATTTGCAATTAATACTGAATACATAAGAGAACAATAATGTCACATGAGATACAAGACAGGTGTGGACAGATGCAGGGGGAGGGGTAACTTACTTGGTAAAGTCTGAGTTCTATCTCCAGAACCCACATGAAAAATCAAGGTGAATAGAGCTGGCCCTGGCGATGTGAGCAAGGGGATCGGAGGGCCCAAGAGCAGGAGAACTGCTGAACTCTTTGCTGTAGGCAACATTGGGAGAGCTAGCAGAGACAGTGCCTATGAGGGAAAGCTAAAAAGAGCTGACCAACCCAGCTACCACCCAGGCACAGAACCAGGGCTATGAAGTTGGCCCGCCCCAACATCCACCAAATCTATGAACTGTTGGAGCAGGTGAAGGGGATGAAACTACAGATCCAAAACATCAGGAGCTCCATGACAACAGGGTATCTAAGAGGAGTCCTAGTGAGAGCCCATTATGGGTGGTATAGCAGAAACAGAGGCCACGAGCCAGACCAGTGACTCATGGCAATGAACATTCGCAAGTAAAGATGAATGGACTAAAAGGTAAACTGTGACTCAACAGGCCACACTGCAGCTTCCATGACAAGATTCTTCTTTTTTGTTTTAGTTTGGTTTTCGGTTTTTCTTTTAAATTTGGCTTTGATTCGGCGGGGAGGCTGCAAGGGCCGAGGGGAGATTTGAGGAGTCAGAGGGAGAAATGGGATCAGAATGCAGGTGTGAAATTAACAAAGAATCAATAAAAGTAAAAAAATAAATTTTAAAAAAAGAAAAAGAAAAACTGAAGTGGAAAAAGTCATAAATCTGGGAAAGGGATTGAGGATGGGAGAAGGAAGGCTTGACAGGAAGGAGACGAGAAGGTGGGGAGAAAGTAACAAGAATGCATTACATATGTGTATGTAACTACCAAAGAACAAACGTAATAAACACAACTTAAAAGCCAGGTGAGCGGCATGGACGGCACCTCCCCGACAGTGGGCAGGTGGAGATGGGGGCTCTCTAAGGCTCCACAGCCACTAGCTGTATGGCAAGCACTAAGCTAGTGAGACCCTACTGTGGAAAAATAAGATAGCTGGGCGGTGGTGGCGCACGCCTTTAATCCAGCACTCGGGAGGCAGAGCCAGGAGGATCTCTGTGAGTTCGAGGCCAGCCTGGGCTACAGAGTGAGTTCCAGGACAGGGACCAAAGCTACACAGAGAAACCCTGTCTCGAAAAACCA